TGAAAATGTCTGACTGGCAAACTGCCACAAAATGCCCATACCACTAGTTTTCTCTTATTTATAAACCCCCTGTTTCAAACAAACCGTTTAGAACGGTTTAGAATCTCATTTTGGCCTCTACCATCATCTATGGATCCTAGAAGTTCGAAACAGCTTTAAGTGCAATCCGTAATCTATTTTTTATTGATTATAATAATAAGCATTTGATATACCGCCATATCTAGCTGGAATAAACCACTCTAAAAGGCTTTACAGTACAAAGGTATACAATTTTTACAATCAATGAAATTAGCATATACATTATCCAATACAATTTTGAGGAATTCGCAGGAGCTGCCTTGTCACGCGCTTACTACCACCTGGCTAATATCTTCCTATGTGTGTATACCTGCATGTGTGCTGGATATGTATTGTGTTCTGTTTTACAGTTGGACCGTGCTTCCAACGGTATAGTGTATAGTGCCACCTCACTTAAACGCTACAGCAGATATCCGCAACATCAACTCACGACCATTTTATACTCCACCTGGGTTGTTAAAATTGTATGGGTAGGAGAAAAACACTTTCTCTAAATATTACATGTGTACGACGACCTCGAGGATCGAGCCCCGGCCGCCTGCGTGGAAGACCGAAGTGTTAACAACTCGACCAATCCGCCCTTTAAGGGGTTTAAGTACCCCTTCTATTTCAACAGTTGTTTTGACCAATTTTTTATGTCAATTATGGCTCCAAATATCAAACGCTGTATGTTACAGTACAGTTTTTAATTGGCATACTGTATCTATTACCAAACCATACCAAACCATATGTGTATCTTAATGTTTTCTGCATCACATAATTATGCACATTTCATGAATTCTTTCTTCAAATCCAGTTCAACAGGTCCTCAATCAGCTATAATAATTAACAGAATAACTCAGTCCTTCTTATTTCTTTATGACGTCGATGAGGTAGCGAATCACTATCCAAGAGTATTACGTTGTAATAGTGATGATCATCTCCAACATGGATGTAATGAAAAAGATTTGGTTTCCTTATTTGAACAGAAATGGCCTGTGGCTCATGTGGTCTTCCCAACATAGCCTTTTCGGCAACACTGAAGAACGACTCCCGCGGCCACCTATGGAAACACTTTGGATCTTTATCTATTTGTGTTCCTTATTTACTATATCCCTTTTTTTGGTGATATTTTCCGAAATATATTATGTTATGTATCTTAATTCCAGCAAATGTTGACGTTTAAGTTTGGTCGTACCTCAATGTGGTCTCAGAATGGCTTCAGCATCATTCGACGTTGTCGCGATTTAATCTTAGCTGTTACGATGACTTTAAGTACCTAGCTAGCAGAGCAGAATTATGTGTACTGACATTTCTACGCATGCTTATTAAAATGAAATGAATTAGGATATACCACTCCAGAAATGTATTGTGCCAAAATTGTAATTCTTAGCAGATAATTATCACAAAGAGACCTGGTTGTTTTTATCATATAATATTTGTGACTTTATCATGAAATATATAATTAATCTTCACCAATCTTGAATCTTGAATTATAAATATTGCACGATTAAACCAGAACCAAATTAGCAGCGCCTCATGTATTTTTGTAATATATGAAGAGTCCAATTTCAGAAATAAGGGTTCGTATGCAGCTCCAATATATGTATATTCAAAAGTTACGTATAGTATCTTATTATTTTTACCGTTTTACGAATATAACACATGGAAGTGTATATGCAGTTTTACTGTTATCTTTTATTTACAAATTTACGACAATTATCAAAGGTGTTAACTTATTTTTGTTTTCCTGGTATTTATAAGTATCTTGTTTTGTTCAATATATGTATGCATGGACTTTTTAGAACTTCTCTGACACTAGAAGATAGATGTACCTGTAACACATTATTTCTTTTCCGTAGTAGAGTGTTATCGCAAATCAGAGGGGAATCCAATTTAAATTTTAGTTTGAAAGGCATAAATTAGCTATGCATAACTAAAACATACACCAAATTAACTCCATTCTATGAAACCAATGACATACAATGCATAAGGTGTATCTTCGTCTTATGTTTCTTATCAGAAATATTTACTACAAAAACAAATCTAGTATTTCTTTAAGAAAGTAAGTTACAAATGAGAATGGAACTAAAACCAGAAGAAATAACACGACTTAATTTGTGTCATTTTAACAGTTTTTAAATTGTTACTTGTTTGTTTTGTTTTTGACTTGTTGTAACACTTCACCAAGACGTGTTTACGATTGACATTTTCCAAGAAGTACAAGAACGAAATTCCATCGGGAAGCAGGTGATTGTGAATCCACATAAACTAGCAGAATTGTTTTGATGGAGTTCCTCTTCACGCTTAAAGTACAATTTATTTAAGTGAATTGCCCTATGGCACACCTTTTGTTTTTATTGCCTGAACACGTTTGTCATTTTTGAAATTACACTTCGATTTAATGGAACAATTTCAAATGTAATGACAGTTAATATGCATCTTATTAAGATCTAACCTGTTGAGTGTGCTGCTGTATGAAATATTATGAAATATAACACAGATAGATGTAGTATATTTTGTTGTACGTTACACACATGCACGCATTCACAACATACACGGAGGCACGTCCTTTAATGACCTTAGCTGTTAATAGGACGTTGATCAAAATAAAACCAAACCAAACTTGCGTTAAAATATCGACATTTTTTTTATGATGTTCTTAGCTTGTTCAGGTTCGGGGAAAGAATAGACCTGCTGCATCCCGCTGCATGTCATAAGAGACGATTTATGTCGGGTCCCGTAAAGAATTTTTTTTTTCATATTTATCGTCTGTTAAAGGAACATAACAGAAATCAAAATTTATCTAAAGCCCCTATAGCAATACTTTGGATATATATTTGTTTGACCGTCTACACTTCTCTTTAGGCAGTGTCTCTCTAGGCAACCATCTTTATATGACGAGCTTTTGCGATTATACTAGCCCTTGATAGCAGTGTTGTGGTTTCGTTGGCACGTCCGCTGTTTGTGCACGTGCCATTTGTTGGATGTGACCGAAATTAACATGACAGGAGTCGTTGATGAGGCAGAAGACTCTTACACTTTCGGAACACCTGGTGCTACTCTCGTTATCCTTCTCAAGGGTAGTTGTGATTAGTGCTGATATTTTGACGTAGTTTCATCGATTTTTAAACCGTTAACAACAAATTTTGTAAGGTCAATGTAGCAAAATAATAAGAATCAATGCGTAGACAACAAATTATACTGTGTAAAACCGAAAATCGGTGAATGGTATCCATGCTATAGAAAAAACCGTCAACATAGGTTATCTTTGCCACTAAGTTTTAAATGACATTAACGTGAGTTATTGCCTACACCAGAAGCCCATTAAATGTAACAAACCAACTTGTAATGAAGATACAAATATGACACTTATATCACTTTTTTGTATGGTACGTGTAATTTCATTACATGGAGAAATGCTTCACTGTCAGTTAAAACAAATAAAATAGAGAAAGCCTACCAAACCAAAGCTTACTATTTTTTACGCGTATTTTAGAATAATGTTTTAACAGGATGGGCTGTCAACGTGATTGATATTTATATTATATGAAACACTTGATTTATCGACTATAAATGATAAAAATGATCTTTCCGGTCATCGTTGACGAAAACTGTCTCTGGTGGGCAGATTAATATGTCAGTCACTTTAACAGCTTGTAAATACAGACGTATATGTTCATTGTATGGCAATGGCAAAGCGATAAAATATTTTTTCTTCATTATAGTTATCTTCTATATCTAAGACAAATCGCACTCAATAAGTGTGTCCAATATAGAAAGCCTATCAGCAGCGTAGTGAAAATAGTATGATAAGACAGGAAATATGTCCTGCAAGCGACGTGTGGGAACTAGTTTCCTTTGACATATATGTTTGCGTGGCCTGAACTGACAACATTTGTTTGAGGAACAAGGATGATATATTGGTTTTGGAAGATCTAGATTAATACATTAATTCTTATAAAAGAAACCGTATTGTGAAAATATTTTCAACATAACAGCAGGAATTGTCCGTGACAACGAGTATTGATAGCGAAGGCGTTGCCAGGAGGGTAACATTTGTTAGCAATTTTTAAAAGAGCATATTACATCCTGATTTAACATAAGGTTTTATCAATCTTGTAAATAAATGACATAACATGCCGTTGGTGTTGCCGATGTTATATAAAATTCGCATCCTTTACATATGTAAATAATGATCGTCGTCCTGAAGTATGCATTTCGGATTGGCACAACACCCTTTTAGACTAGAAAATATTACTTTACAATAGATAACTAGTAAAGGATTTGGCTTTTGTTCTTTGTCAGTAAAACAAATTTTAAAACAAATCTTCTAGACAAGCTTCATCAATATAGTATTCAATGGAACCTCTTCTCTCTGTTTCTGTTAATGTTCCTTCATAGTCTGGTAATCTTACATTGGGGATCCAAGTGATTCAATCAAACTGTCTATGGAGTCAGTCTAAGCACTTTTCTAGACTTTCAAATTCGTTTAGATGTTACATCATACATACCACATGCCGTAGAAAAGAACAAAACTGTGAAAAGGGGAAATGTACGGAGCCCGTTAACTGACATGCTACACACTTATTTTATTTCGTTTTATCGAATTGTTATTTCGTTTTTTCGAATTATTATTTCGTTTAAACGAATTATTATTTCGTTTTTTCGAAATATTATTTCGTTTTTTCGAATTATTATTTCGTTTTTTCGAATTATTATTTCGTTAAAACGAATTATTATTTCGTTTTATCGAAATATTATTTCGTTTTTTCGAAATATTATTTCGTTAAAACGAATTATTATTTCGTTTTATCGAAATATTATTTCGTTTTATCGAATTATTATTTCGTTTTATCGAAATATTATTTCGTTTTATCGAATTATTATTTCGTTTTAACGAATTATTATTTCGTTTTTTCGAAATATTATTTCGTTTAAATGAATTATTATTTCGTTAAAACGAAATAATATTGACGGCGTCTTCGGAACTCTTCTGCTGCGAAAACAACTAAAGCTATTACACCTTGCTTGATCAGGGACGGACGGACGGAGTCCTTTGAAGGTAAAGTTGATATTAAGTATGTAAACTTGTACGAAATGTATATAGATGTGAACTAGGCCTACAGTGCTTGTAAGTTTTGTGCTTTTCAGAAATCGTTTAGATATTAACCAATGACCAGGTCTTTTTATGAATATTTCACTTGATCAACCCTAATTTTCTCGACAAGCTATTCACTAATTCAGTACAATAGGCTAGGCCTACTGGCCGTTTTCGTTTATCGCATTCCAAACGGTTTGACCAGATTTGTTCGGTTTATGAAATATCGACAGACCTAGTAATTTGATGTTATTTTATGTCAAGTCTTGACAGAGATTTTCAAGGCCTGTATTGCCATTTGCAGGTCCGTCAGGTCGTATCCCTGAAATGATCAAGTCTAGAACAGGCCCCGCGCCGGTATTCGGATGATTTTGTTGTGTCTAATACGGATGACTGCTGTCTTTGTGTACCGATAAACTCAATATCATTGTTCTTCAGGTTAAATCTACCACTGAACGAGTTATAAAGGCAAAGAATAGTTTCACTTTTTGTTTTTACATTTGGAGTATTCTCCCTTCTATATAGAAGATGAAGCATTTTTTTCTGACTCTGTGTAACTTCCACTGTCAGGATTTTCATACATTTTTTGGCCAATAACTGGACACTCTTTAAGATGAAATGCTTTAATTCTTAGATGGCAACATTGATAGTGCAAGCTTTGAAATATAAAGGTTCTAAGTTTGTTTGAATCTTCAAATGCTGAAAATTTCAATTTTTAACAGGTTTTTTTATTCCATAAATTGTATTTTAACATGCATATATGTGATGTACCATGAATACTTGAAAAGAGTTTAAAACATATCTTTCAATATTGGCAATGCTTACAACTAATTACCCTTTCCTAGCAGACACACCCTGTCTCATCTGGATTTACCTCACCAACACACTAATCCGAAGAAAACAAATCAGAAACCAGAACTGTCCACATCTTTGGAGATGCTTTTCAACATAAACTCCATCCTCCTAAACCCTCAACAACACAACTTTCACACATGCTTCAACATATTAAAGGACAGCAGCTAAACGACAAAATTCTATAATACTTTCCAAATGTGGTTATTTCACCCCCTCCCTAACACCAGCCCAATCATATACTTTTTCACACACAGTGACACACACAATCCTGTGATTATCATAGACATTTTTCTGACAAGCCCTTTACATCTTTAACTTTTTATGAGTCCCATTACTAAGAAATATATAGTTGGTCTTCAGAAAGTTGGTGAGTACGAAAGGAAAAAGATGAGTCCAGGACTCAAATATCTGAGTCCAAAACATTACTGACCATCACAGTATTACACACATGCATACCCAGTAGCTAACTGGAACATATTTCCTGCAATACCAAACCCACTGGATTTTTTTCATCCTGATCATGAAAGACATTGTTTTGTTATTATTGTTATACATATATGTAATTTTATAACTGTCCATGTCAAGATGATACATTTTCTGTACTGAAAACCCTCTTTCAAAATATGTTAGCAGGTACACTGTATATTTATGGCAGAAATATATAAAAGTTTCATTCATATTTTTTATTTTCCAGATACAGGATGGAAGACTTTTTAAAAGATCGAGGAGTAGAAGGAACCATCATTAATAAAATGAAAGAAGAAGGTGTAAGTAATGTCTTTAAATCAGAAAAAAAGTCTGACTATCAAGGAGTGAAACAACTTGGTAATGGTAAAAGTCCAGGATTTGTTGAGAAATGTCCTTTTTAGAAAAAACATTGTTAAAAAACATTGTTAAAAGGCTTCATTTCATCAATATGGGAAACTGACCCCTACTCCACCACTGTTTTGCCCTAATTTTTTTAACTCCACATTTGATTTCTGTTATTTAAAGATATAGAACCATATCTTAAAGTAAGTTAAAAAAACAATTGATTAGATTTTTTTTTAAATGGTTGATGGCTTCATTTCACCATTATGGTAGAGTGACAATTTCTTTGTTGAGATATGAAAGTGTGTTTATATTTATGCCTGGACCATTTTTTTGGTCCAGCTACTGGGCCCGGTAAACAAGATTTACAGATGACCCGTGAACGTGGTAAAGTAAAGGTATCTACCAGGTATTTTCGCTTACCTGCCCAGAGGGCAATTGAACTTCTGCCATGGCGCAGCGTCCATCGTCCATCCATCAACTTTTCCTTTAAAACACCACTAGTCCTGAATGACTAAGAGGATTTTAGTTAAATTTGGTCTGGAGCAGCCTTGGGCGAAGGGCACTCAATTTTGTATAAACGTGAGTGTGGCCCCCAAGGGGGCAGAGGGGTGGTGTAATGTGGTAATGTAATGTGGTAGTGTGATATGGTAGTATTATGTGGTAGTGTGATATGGTAGTGTACTGTTATGTGGTAGTGTAGTGTAATGTGGAAGTGTGATATGGTAATGTGATATTGTAGTGTGGTGTGGTAGTGTTATGTGATGTGTAGTGTTTTGTGGTGTGTAGTGTTATGTGGTGTGTAGTGTTATGTGATGTGTAATGTTATGTGGTAGTGTGATATTGTAGTGTGATGTGGTAGTGTAATGTGGTAATGTAATGTGGAAGTGTGATATGGTAATGTGATATTGTAGTGTGGTGTGGTAGTGTTATGTGATGTGTAGTGTTTTGTGGTGTGTTGTGTTATGTGATGTGTAATGTTATGTGGTAGTGTGATATGGTAGTGTGATGTGGTAGTGTAATGTGGTAATGTAATGTGGTAGTGTGATATGGTAGTATTATGTGGTAGTGTGATATGGTAGTGTACTGTTATGTGGTAGTGTAGTGTAATGTGGAAGTGTGATATGGTAATGTGATATTGTAGTGTGGTGTGGTAGTGTTATGTGATGTGTAGTGTTTTGTGGTGTGTAGTGTTATGTGATGTGTAGTGTTATGTGGTGTGTAGTGTTATGTGATGTGTAATGTTATGTGGTAGTGTGATATTGTAGTGTGATGTGGTAGTGTAATGTGGTAATGTAATGTGGAAGTGTGATATGGTAATGTGATATTGTAGTGTGGTGTGGTAGTGTTATGTGATGTGTAGTGTTTTGTGGTGTGTTGTGTTATGTGATGTGTAATGTTATGTGGTAGTGTGATATGGTAGTGTGATGTGGTAGTGTAATGTGGTAATGTAATGTGGTAGTGTGATATGGTAGTATTATGTGGTAGTGTGATATGGTAGTGTACTGTTATGTGGTAGTGTAGTGTAATGTGGTAGTGAAGTGTGATATGGTAGTGTGATGTGGTAGTGTAATGTGGTAATGTAATGTGGTAGTGTGATATGGTAGTGTAGTGTTATGTGGTAGTGTAGTGTTATGTCGTGTGAAGTATGATGTGATGTGTAGTGTTATTTTAGTGTGTTGTGGTGTGTAGTGTTATTTTAGTGTGTTGTGGTGTGTAGTGTTATTTTAGTGTGATTAGGTGTGTAGTGTGATGTGGTTGTGTTATGTGGTGTGTATTGTTGTGTGGTGTGAAGTGTTATGTGGTGTGTAGTGTTATGCGATGTGTAGTTTTATGTAGTGAGTATTGTGGTGTGAAGTATGATGTGGTGTGTAGTGTTATGTGGTGTGTAGTATGATGTGGTGTGTAGTGTTATGTGGTGTGTAGTGTTATGCGATGTGTAGTTTTATGTAGTGAGTATTGTGGTGTGAAGTGTTATGTGGTGTGTAGTGTTATGCGATGTGTAGTTTTATGTAGTGAGTATTGTGGTGTGTAGTGTTATGTGGTGTGTAGTGTTATGCGATGTGTAGTTTTATGTAGTGAGTATTGTGGTGTGAAGTGTTATGTGGTGTGTAGTGTTATGCGATGTGTAGTTTTATGTAGTGAGTATTGTGGTGTGTAGTGTTATGTGGTGTGTAGTGTTATGCGATGTGTAGTTTTATGTAGTGAGTATTGTGGTGTGAAGTGTTATGTGGTGTGTAGTGTTATGCGATGTGTAGTTTTATGTAGTGAGTATTGTGGTGTGTAGTGTTATGTGGTGTGTAGTGTTATGCGATGTGTAGTTTTATGTAGTGAGTATTGTGGTGTGAAGTGTTATGTGGTGTGTAGTGTTATGCGATGTGTAGTTTTATGTAGTGAGTATTGTGGTGTGTAGTGTTATGTGGTGTGTAGTATTGGTAATGATGTGGTGTTTAGTGTTATTTGGTGTGTATTGTTATGTGGTGTTTAGTGTGATGTGGTATGTAGTGTTATGTGGTGTGTAGTGTTATGTGGTATGTAGTGTTATGTGGTATGTAGTGTTATGTGGTAGTGTATTGTTATGTGGTGTTAAGTGTTATGTGGTGTTAAGTGTTATGTGGTATGTAGTGTTATGTGGTATGTAGTGTTATGTGGTATGTAGTGTTATGTGGTAGTGTAGTGTTATGTGGTGTTAAGTGTTATGTGGTGTTAAGTGTTATGTGGTATGTAGTGTTATGTGGTATGTAGTGTTATGTGGTATGTAGTGTTATGTGGTAGTGTAGTGTTATGTGGTGTTTAGTGTTATGTGGTGTTAAGTGTTATGTGGTATGTAGTGTTATGTGGTATGTAGTGTTATGTGGTATGTAGTGTTATGTGGTAGTGTAGTGTTATGTGGTGTTTAGTGTTATGTGGTGTTAAGTGTTATGTGGTATGTAGTGTTATGTGGTATGTAGTGTTATGTGGTATGTAGTGTTATGTGGTATGTAGTGTTATGTGGTATGTAGTGTTATGTGGTATGTAGTGTTATGTGGTATGTAGTGTTATGTGGTATGTAGTGTTATGTGGTATGTAGTGTTATGTGGTATGTAGTGTTATGTGGTATGTAGTGTTATGTGGTATGTAGTGTTATGTGGTATGTAGTGTTATGTGGTAGTGTATTGTTATGTGGTGTTAAGTGTTATGTGGTGTTAAGTGTTATGTGGTATGTAGTGTTATGTGGTATGTAGTGTTATGTGGTATGTAGTGTTATGTGGTAGTGTAGTGTTATGTGGTGTTTAGTGTGATGTGGTATGTAGTGTTATGTGGTATGTAGTGTTATGTGGTATGTAGTGTTATGTGGTAGTGTATTGTTATGTGGTGTTAAGTGTTATGTGGTGTTAAGTGTTATGTGGTATGTAGTGTTATGTGGTATGTAGTGTTATGTGGTATTGTATTGTTATGTGGTGTTAAGTGTTATGTGGTGTTAAGTGTTATGTGGTATGTAGTGTTATGTGGTATGTAGTGTTATGTGGTATGTAGTGTTATGTGGTAGTGTAGTGTTATGTGGTGTTTAGTGTTATGTGGTGTTAAGTGTTATGTGGTATGTAGTGTTATGTGGTATGTAGTGTTATGTGGTATGTAGTGTTATGTGGTAGTGTAGTGTTATGTGGTGTTTAGTGTTATGTGGTGTTAAGTGTTATGTGGTATGTAGTGTTATGTGGTATGTAGTGTTATGTGGTATGTAGTGTTATGTGGTAGTGTAGTGTTATGTGGTGTTTAGTGTTATGTGGTGTGTAGTGTTATGTGGTATGTAGTGTTATGTGGTATGTAGTGTTATGTGGTAGTGTATTGTTATGTGGTGTTAAGTGTTATGTGGTGTTAAGTGTTATGTGGTATGTAGTGTTATGTGGTATGTAGTGTTATGTGGTATGTAGTGTTATGTGGTAGTGTAGTGTTATGTGGTGTTAAGTGTTATGTGGTGTTAAGTGTTATGTGGTATGTAGTGTTATGTGGTATGTAGTGTTATGTGGTATGTAGTGTTATGTGGTAGTGTAGTGTTATGTGGTGTTTAGTGTTATGTGGTGTTAAGTGTTATGTGGTATGTAGTGTTATGTGGTATGTAGTGTTATGTGGTATGTAGTGTTATGTGGTAGTGTATTGTTATGTGGTGTTAAGTGTTATGTGGTGTTAAGTGTTATGTGGTATGTAGTGTTATGTGGTATGTAGTGTTATGTGGTATGTAGTGTTATGTGGTAGTGTAGTGTTATGTGGTGTTTAGTGTTATGTGGTGTTAAGTGTTATGTGGTATGTAGTGTTATGTGGTATGTAGTGTTATGTGGTATGTAGTGTTATGTGGTAGTGTATTGTTATGTGGTGTTAAGTGTTATGTGGTGTTAAGTGTTATGTGGTATGTAGTGTTATGTGGTATGTAGTGTTATGTGGTATGTAGTGTTATGTGGTAGTGTATTGTTATGTGGTGTTAAGTGTTATGTGGTGTTAAGTGTTATGTGGTATGTAGTGTTATGTGGTATGTAGTGTTATGTGGTATGTAGTGTTATGTGGTAGTGTATTGTTATGTGGTGTTTAGTGTGATGTGGTATGTAGTGTTATGTGGTATGTAGTGTTATGTGGTATTGAGTGTTATGTGGTATGTAGTGTTATGTGGTAGTGTATTGTTATGTGGTGTTAAGTGTTATGTGGTGTTAAGTGTTATGTGGTATGTAGTGTTATGTGGTATGTAGTGTTATGTGGTATGTAGTGTTATGTGGTAGTGTAGTGTAGTGTTATGTGGTAGTGTAGTGTTATGTCGTGTGTAGTATGATGTCATGTGTAGTGTTATTTTAGTCTGTTGTGGTGTGTAGTGTTATATGTTGTGTAGTGTGATGTGGTTGTTTTATGTGGTGTGTATTGTTGTGTGGTGTGTAGTATGATGTGGTGTGTAGTGTTATATGGTGTGTAGTGTTATGTGACGTGTAGTGTTATGTGGTTTGTAGTGATATGTGATAGTGGTATGTGACGTGTAGTGTTAAGGTAGTGTGTATTGTGATGTTTGTAGTGTTATGCGGCGTGTAGTGTTATGTGGTGTGTAGTATGATGTGGTGTGTAGTGTTGTGTGATTTGGTGTGTAGTATAATGTGGGGTGTAGTGTTATGTGATGTGTTGTGTGGTGTGTTATGTGGTGTGTTATGTGGTGTGTAGTGATGTGGTGTTTAGTGTTATGTGGTGTTTAGTGTTATGTGATATGTAGTGTTAATTGGTAGTGTAGTGTTATGTGGTGTGTATTGTTATGTGGTGTTTAGTGTGATGTGGTAGTGTTGTGATGTGTGGTGTTATGTAGTGTGTAGTGTTATGTGGAAGTGTGATGTGGTGTGTAGTGTTATGTGGTAATAGTGTGCTGAGGTGTGTAGTGTAGTGTGCAGTGGTGTACTAGTTTGATTGTGAATAGTTAGATGTGGTGTGGTGGTTTAGTATGGTGTGGTATGGTGTGATGTGGTGTGTAGTATAATGTAGTGGTGTGATAGTTTGGTGTAGTTTGGTGTGATGTGATGTGTTGTGTTGTGGTGAAGTGTGGTGTGATAATATGTAGTTTGATGTGGTGGTGAGGTTGAATGTGGCTGTATCATGTTGTGAAGTGTGGTTTGATGTGGTGGCACCCTGTTGTACGTGGCGTGTTTGTAGTGTTATGAGGCCATGTTTGAGTAAATGCCTTCAGTTTAGTTTCTAGCCCTTTCACTTTCACTAACCTGAGTAAAAAAACTAGTATTCCTGGGTATCAGGGTAGTGGAATTTCACACCATGCACAAACTTACAGCTACATAGATATAGTATATACATAAAATACTTGTATCTGATCAGTGTTTCATTATTAAAGGAAAATACCATGTGACCCCATCATGTGTTAACTGAAATGTTTCACAGAAGGAAGAGTTTTTCTTACAATGTTGTGCTTTAAGTGAAACTTAGCTAACATACTTAGTTGTTCAGTTATAAATCAATGATGTTATATTCTTTATAATCATTACAGATTGACGAAACAGTTGTGTCAACTATGACAGCAGAACAACTTAGCAAGTACCTGCCTCGTTACGGTGACTGCTTAGCAGCAATTGCATTTTCGAAACAACATCCCTCAAGCAGCCTGAGTGAAGCATCTCAAAGATCCAAAGATCGAAGAATATCATTGCGTGACAGATTGCTTGCTAAGTTGCAAGGGAAAAAAGGTGATGAACATGTAAGAAGATCAGTTCCCCAAGAAGGAAATAAGAATGCCAAGAAGACTTCCAGAAAAATAGAACTTGGTTGGCTTCATACCTATGGAGCTTGTGGTACACTTAAACAAGTTAGATCACCAAATGGAGGAGGAACAAGGACTGTAGACATAGATGTAAATGCTACCATTTCAGAATTGTTGACTACAGCTAAAGGCCTTTTTTTCCCTAATGGGAAGTCAAAGAAAGGAAACGAAAAGGATTTTGATTTCTATGTTGCAAATCAAACTCATGAGAGACAAGAAAGTGACTTCACAGTCAAACAGATATTTGAGTCTACCAAGTTAAAGATACTTCGATTCTATCTGGTAACATCCCCTGCTGCTACTGCATCTACTGACAACAGTGCTGATAAGAAAACACAACCACAAAGCAAAGGAAACCCATTTCATTGCTTACCTGATGCTGATACCTTGGAGGAGTTCACAAACTCTTCAGAAAGTGGAGATGTTGAAGATTTATACAGCATGCGCTCATTTACAGATGATGATATTCCTAGTGAACTTCTTGAAGGTTCAAATGAAACTCTTTTTGACCCACTTCTGTTTGAACCACTTGAACAACAAGAAGAGGAAGAGTTATCAAATGTGCCACAAGCGTTACAACCATATATACAACAAGGACAACCAAATTCTCCACCTGCATCACAAGAACATGCACATTCATCTCATATTCAGGAACAACAGCAAACAACAGACCCAAGCATTATAACTTTACATAGAACAATGATTCAAGAGGAACTTATTCAGCACTTTAAGAATCCCAGTGTTATCAATGCAAAGTTATCATTTTCATTTGTCAATGAAAGAGGCCAAGATGCTGATGGAGTTTCTAGAGATGCATATTCAGGGTTTTGGACATCATTTCTGTTGAGAAATACAGATGGTGAAACATACAGAGTACCAGTGTTGACAAATGAATACAGCTTAGAAGAATGGGAAGCTATTGGCCGAATTTTACTGAAGGGTTATCAAGACCACAGGTATTTACCAACTGGTTTGGCACCAGTTTTCCTTATTGCTATAGTACATGGCGAAGATGTTGTGTCCCCACAACAGTTGAAGGATTCTTTTTTTAATTATCTTGCCCAGTCTGAGAAAGAAGTTCTGGAAGCCGCTTGTAGAGGATCTTTGTTTGATGAAGATGAATTACTTGGTGTACTTGACAGATTTCAGTGTCATCGAATTCCACAGCTGGAAGAGATGAATTCGACGGTTATTCAAATAGCTCATAGAGTGTTAATTCAAGAACCAAAATATGCATTGGATGCAATGAGGAATGTCAGTGGAAACACTCTCCAGTTATTACTACCAGACATTGCATCAATTAGTTCCATTTATACAAAACTGAATCCAACTGTTACCAAGGTGCTTGGCTTATTGCACGCTTCACCAACAACAAAAGAGGAAAATGCGAGCTTTGGATTCCTTAAGAGATTTGTGCGTGGCAGGAATAACGAACAACTGAAACAATTTATCAGATTTCTTACTGGCTCAGATGTGGTATGCGTTGATAAGATAGAAGTCACTTTTGTCCTTCGGTATGGTAAAGGAAGAGTCCCAACCATACACACATGCGGACCTACCTTGGAGTTACCATCGACCTATGTTAATTTCCCAGATTTCAGAAGTGAATGGGAGTCAATACTAAGCAACACAGACAGCATGGAAATGAGTATTGCATAATTTGCGTACAGTTTGCAAGTTTTTTTTATCTGATACAGATATAGCTCATAGTGTTAATTCAATTATCTGTGTTTTATGTAGACTTTAGCCAGAAAAACTACTGAATTACCTGGTTGGATTAGACAGACATGTATGTTATGACATGGTTATCCGACTTCTTTTCCCAGGTAGTCAGAACATGTATATTTTTTAGCTGATCTGGCAAGAAGTGTTACTTGGTGTACGAAGGACAGAAAATGACCTCTATCTTACTGATATATTTATGACATACTTATTTTATGGTGAATTGTCTGTCGTCTGTTTGTTATCCGTCTTCGTCATCCTTCAATTTTTTCTTTGAACGATTTCTTCTGAACTGCAGTACCTAGGTCCATGATATCCGGTCAGTAAGTACCTGGGACAGAGGGCTATAAAATTTCTGAAAACGATGACCTTGACATACTTTCAAGGTCACAGGGGTCAAATTTGTAAAACTCTTTGAACAACTTCTTCTGAATAACAAGAAGGCCCAGAGTAATGATATGTACCCAGTAGGTACCTGGTGTGAAGTAATATAAAATTCCTCAAATAAATGACCATGACCTACTTTCAAGTTCACAAGGCTCAAACTATGTTAAAAACCTTGAAATAACTACTTCTGAATAACAAAGGGACATAGAGCAATGATATTTAACCAGTAGGTTACTACCGCGAGGTGCTATACATTTTCCTCAAATAAATGATTTTGAAGTATTTCCAAGGCCTCAATGGTTAAATATATAAATATTTTTAAAGAACTTCTGAATAACCTGGAGGCCAAGGTTAATGATATTTGGCCTGAAGGTATATTGGATGGAGTGCTATATGCTTTCCTCAAATGAATGACCTTGACCATCTTTCAAGATCACAGGCATCAAATATTAAGAAGCATTTAAAACAACTTCTTCTAAATAACAAGGAGGCCCAGGGTGATGATAATTGGCCAGGAAGTCCCTGGCATTGAGTGCTAACAACTTTTCCAAAACAAATGATCTTAACCCTCTTCCAATGTCAAAGGGGTAAAATGTATTAAAAAAACTATAAACATCTTCTTTATTACATGGAGGCTCTGGATGATATGTCCAGTAGCATGATGGGATTGAGAAGTATGGAAATTTCCCCACGATTACTTCAGTTTCCAGGTGAGCGATACAGGCCCTCTGGGCCTCTTGTTGTTTATACAAAAGAATGTATATCATGTTAATAAATTCAAATGTTTAAATATTGAATCTATGTTTTACAAAAATCTTGACATCAAATATAGACACAACTCTGGTTATTTCTCATGTATCTTGTCAAAATTTACAATTAATTATTGGTTTAATATCTTCTGTCTAGGATAAAGTCAGATATTTCTTATGGTCTTTCAACATTGATATCGAAACAAATTTGATGTCAAGTGAGCAATGCAATCCAATTAGGCTAGAATGTTGCTTTATGATTGATTTTTTATTTGTTTGTCAAAATTGTTAAGTATCATTGGCTTGATAAGCTTGTTCCGTGAATTTGGATGAGTTTAGCACTTGGTCATACTTAGTATAACATGACCTGATAACAAACAACATCCCTAGTGATGTCTTTGATAAACTTCTGCTACTGGTAGTATGTTTTTGTTTTTCTATGATTCAACTACATGTACATCATTTGCATTCTTTTAGCGTCTGGTTTCTTTCCAAATGTTGATGAAACATCACTGTCATGCTTTCATTTTTTGTCACAGAGCTGTTTGCTTGTCATAATCATACAGTGCTGATTTTTAAGCTAACTTAGATGAAACTACATGCAAATTAGAAGCAGGTGTTACATGTCCTCAAAATGCTGGCTCAAAGGACAAGGTCAGAGTTTTAGATGATAGTTAATTTATTGTCATCATTACATCTTTTATTTTTGAGCATTTTTGAATGATAGTCCACTCATGTTTAGTGACCTTTGAGTTTCTATTCTATTAAAGTTAGTGATACCACATATGTTTTATTCATATCACCAAGTCATTTTAACATGAATGCATATTTGTGATCTCATTACAATGATTGGGTGTTCACAATTATGAATTGTTGATATTATCACTTTGTTATGGTAATATCACATAAATGAAATAAAACTTCAGAATGGTAGCCTATTCATGAATGAAGAATTGAAATATCAAAAGTCATATTACAATGGTTTTTATTTGACAGAATTTCCCTCTTCGACAGTTTTAAACAAAAAAGTGCCAAAATTGTTTTTATTTGATTTTAAAGTCATCAAGGCTCATTAAATATTTCAGTGACTTAAAGGATCTCTGATTGAAGTTGTCATCATTTCTAAGTAGGGTTGTTACAATAAGACAATTTGTCAGTTTATTATGTTTAAGTGGGTAGAAAGCAATCACTTCCCCACTTACATCAGGTATGTGGTATTCCGACTTTGTTTTCTAGTTACATGTACAAATATTAATAAAAAAATGTTTCTATATGGTTTGTTTATTCTTGTAATAAAATCATACACACATGTAATAGGCAACATTTGTTGTTAAATTGTTAACAAGTTAATCTCGCGACCAGAGGGTCAAACTACGTTACACGAACAAGATAATCTCATAACTAGAGAATAATGAGTTCATGCAATGTTCATTAAACCTCAGGATCCCATTTCTATTACTTACCAGTAAATCCTTAAAGCATGAGCTCATGCCAAAGCACAGCGTCCTTCGTTTGTCAAGAGTTTCTTATTGAACTATACTCCCCCACAAGAACTTATCATATTTCAACCAAACATGCAATGTTGCATATAATGAACACAATAATAAAGCTTTAAATGGAGGATGTGGGAGATGAGGAAAGGGGACCTGATTACTCTAAAGCTCTTTACAGTAATTGATACAATTTATACAATCAACACAATCTATTGATCAAAACATATTATAGTTAGGATTTTGCAGGAGCTGCATTATAGGCGCTGATTATAAGCACCTGGTAAACGTGTGCTTGTGCACTGGGTATTTATTTACTGTTATTCGATGGGACCGTGTTTCAAATGGCATGGTGCCATCTCCTTGAATGCGACAGAGCAGACACTGTAACACCCACCCCAGACCATTTTATGCTCAGCTTGGTTTGTTGGAGTTATACATGTGTGGACAGGGAAAACCTTTCCTCTGAATACTCCATACAACAATGGATTCAGTGATCGAACCGTGGCCATCTCATGAAAGGTCAGTGTCTTGACAACCACATTTATTGCATTCTTTACATATTTACTGTACCGTATTCGAGAGATAAGAATCAAATTCCACATGAGCTTTTTAGATCACTCAATAATCTCTTTGATTATAATCTAGCAGACTGAAAAACTGAAAGATTAAACTAACATCTGATTTCTTCATCGTCATGTTCTGGCGTGTCGACACCATCAATAGAAAGAGAAAGGAGATATAGCATCAACCTTGTAAAATTATTGACATTTTGCTGTCGTCCCAGTCCCGTGTTCATAAAAGGGAAATTAGTTTCCTTGCTGTGCCTCACACATGTTTCCACAACCAACCAATTGTTATTTGTTTCATTTAGTCAATAGGAATACCAAAGGTGTGCCATCAAAATAATAATAACGTTTGGTTCGTACACTCCTATCATTTGGATGACGTTGATTACCATTAAAAGCTACATGAACATAGACGTTGTCTATGACTGGAGCAGCTTTAATGCCAACAAAAAGCGAAGGAGTCGCACAAACCACGTTAACCTGTTAATCTTTAGCTCACACGTCCATCGTCCGGCGTCAAGATTTAACGTTTAACAACTTCTGAATAACCAAATTACCCAGGATGATATGTGGCCAGTAGCATGCTTGGATGAAGGGCTACAAAATTTGTTCAAATGAATGACCTTCACTCAAATTCAAGGTCAATTGTCTTAAAAATACCTTTAAACAACTTCTTTTGAATAACCAAAATGACAGTAGGCATAAAAAAGGGCTACCAAGTTTGTTCAATTTAATGACCTTGACCTATAATCAAGGTCACAGGGGTCAAATTTGTTAAAACTCTTTAAACAACTTATTCTGGAAAACCACTCACATTTGGTTACCTTCAAATGACCTAATCTCAATAAACAAAAGGTCTAGGGTGGTGATATTTGGCAAGTTGCATGCTGCTAAGAAGGGCTATAAAGTTTGTTCAACGTAATGACGTTGTTCGACTTTCAAGGTCACAGGGGTCAAATGTTTTTAAATCTTTTAACTGGTTCAGTTGAATGACTTATGGTCATACATACTGATCTTTTGCCGGTAGCATTTTTAGACCATATTTGGGAGTAATACCAGAAATGTTCGACAAATAATTCCGCTTAAATGTTGTTTCTGCCTAGTGTCTTTTAATGTTACTAACATTAAACTTACTTCAACCATCTAACCAGGTTAAACACATTAATTTATCTTACTCAAACGAATGGATACAATAAAAGATTTGTCCCTTGAAATATGACGTTCGTTTTATGTATTGCGATATTTTCGCACGTGCATAATATATAATTGCTATAAGTACTGTACTACGCCCATACATAAAACTACGCTCACCACGAAATGGATCATTATCATTGCGGCGAAGAAAACGTTGAAATTGGCACACATGTCCATTTTATGTACCCTTATCACTACGAACAATGAGTGGACAACCGCCGAGTTTCTCCAGTGCGCTCAAATAGTATCCACCAATGACTCTAGGATCACTAATTGTGTGGTACGCGTTAAGCCATATGACTTTACGCGAAAACCCATCCAGGCAACCGTTGATACAAATTCCGTATGGACGCAACTTGTCATAAGAATCAAAATGCCAGATGTAATTGGGACCTTTCGAACAATAAAGGCGTCTCCTTAGTTTATGTCTTCGGCGAAGTTCTGTTCCTGCTGAGTCTAAAATACTCATTAAAAGTCGAACTTCCTCCTTCCTTGCGTTAATACCTTGACATTTCATTTTTTGATACATCCATCGATATCCATGCATTACTCCTGATCCTCGTTGTTCAGACTGTATAAAATCAGCAACTGTCATAATGTCAGCCTCATGTTTATATCTGTACAATGATGCTTTGTGCAAAAGCCTTATCAATTGTCTGCTACTGAGAGAATATCCGTGTCTATGGTTTAAAATCCAACAAATGTCATCATGCTTTAAACCTAATAAGAAATAGTTCTTCAACAGCTCGCCACGATAATCAGCCATTATATAAGTGAAAGAGAGGCTGACATTTATTCGTTTAAACGAAATAATATTTCGATAAAACGAAATGATATTTCGAAAAAACGAAATAATAATTCGTTATAATGAAATAATATTTCGAAAAAACGAAATAAAAATTCGTTATACCGAAAAAACATTTCGAAAAAACGAAATAGTATTTCGATAAAACGAAATAATAATTCGTTAAAACGAAATAATATTTCGAAAAAACGAAATAATAATTCGTTTTAACGAAATAATAATTCGATATAATGAAATAATATTTCGAAAAAACGAAATAAAAATTCGTTATACCGAAATAACATTTCGAAAAAACGAAATAGTATTTCGAAAAAACGAAATAGTATTTCGTTAAAACGAAATAATAATTCGTTAAAACGAAATAATAATTCGTTTAAACGAAATAATAATTCGTTAAAACGAAATAATATTTCGAAAAAACGAAATAATAATTCGTTTTAACGAAATAATAATTCGATAAAACGAAATTATAATTCGATAAAACGAAATAATAATTCGTTTTAACGAAATAATAATT